GCTAAGCAGCATTTATTGCCCATCCCTAATTGCCCAGAGGGCAGTTCACAGTCAACCACATTGCTTGAGAGTCTGGAGTCACATGTAGACCAGACCAGGTAAGAAAGGCAGTTTCCTTCCCTAAAGGACACCAGATGGGGTTTTCTGACAATCGGCAATGGATTCACAGTCATCATTAGATTCTTAATTCCAGATATTTTGTTGAATTCAAATTCCACCATCTGCCGTGGCAGGATTCGAACCCGGGTCCCCGGAATGGATTAACAGGCCATCGCCTCCCTAAATTGTTACAATTACAGGCTTTTCTTGAAGCAGCATGACCTCAAAGATCTGGTCACAACCACCAGGAGAAAATAAAAGTAAGGATCTAACAGAGCCTTGCAACCTTTGCTGCTTCAGGGCTTCCAATCCCCAGAATATGGTCTCCAGAACATCAACACTTTGGGAAACCCTGTAGAACTTTTTGCCAGCTATTCATTCTGTTTGATGACAATAATACTTACTTTATTGCTATCTAATATTACAAAGAGATCTTGATCAAGTGGGTTAATGGGCTGGCAATGGAGTGACATTTGGGGTTTAATTTTGATAAACACAAGGTATTGCATTTTGGTAAAACAAATAAAGGCAGGACTTAGACAGTTACAAGTAGGGTCTTCAGTAGTGTTGAGGACAGAGAGACCTAGGGGTTCAGGTGCATAATTTTTTGAAGTTTGCATCACATATAGACAGGGTGGTTAAGAAGGTATTTAGTGCTTGCCTTCATTGTTCAGACCGGTGTGTATAGGAACCAAAACCAGAAGTTGCTGGAAAACATCAGCAAGTCTGGCAGGATTTGTGGAGAGAAATCAAAATTACCGTTTTGGGTCAAGTGACCCTTCCTCAGAACCCTTTGAGTACAGGAATGGAGACGTCATATTGAGGTTGTACAGGACGTTTAAGAAACCTCTACTGGAGTACTGTGTGCAGTTCTGGTACCCGTTATAGAAAGGATATTATTAAGCTGGAGAGGATTCAGAAAAGATTTACCAGGATGTTGGAAGGTTTGATTTATAAGGAGTGGCTAGATAGGCTGGGACATTTTTTCACTGGAGCATAGGTTAACTTATAGAGGTTTATAAAATCATGAGGGATATAGATAAAGTGAATGGTAGGTGCCTTTTCCCTAGGATGGGGGATTTCAAGACTAGAGGGACATATTTGTAAGGTTAGAGGAGAGAGATTTAAAAAAAGACATGAGGGACAATTTTTTTAATACACAGAGTGGTTTGCGTGTAAAATGAACTTCCAGAGGAAGTGGTGAATGCAGGTACAGTTACAACATTTAAAAGATATTTGGATAGGTACATGGATGGGAAAGGATATGGGCCAGGAGCGGGCAGTTGGGACTAGTTTAGTTTGTGGCTATGGTCAGCAGGGGTCTGTTTCTGTCCTGTATGATTCTATGACTCTAATACCTGTACAATCTACAATGATACAGCCAACCAGAAGATAAATTGGCAATTGTAGCAAATCCTGAAGAATAAAGCTAGTGGAGTTTCCAAACTGGTCACTCTACAAAGGGCATGGAAAGTTCTGGAAACTTTACTACTTTTCGACAGTGGGAACGTTCCGCAGCTCAAGGAAAGGAAACTGTTGAATTATGGAATCAATTCAGGAGTTTCGAAGATAGCTATATGGAGCATCTCCACACTCACATCTGCTGTCCACTTGTAAAAAGTTTAATTTGCTGCTGCTGGAGTATTCAGCACCTCATGCTGCTCAACCCCAAGGCCCTGGAATGACAGAGTTAAGGCAAGGTTAAGTACAGAGGGTCGAGGGATTATCGTGTGAAAAATTGTTTGGAATCAGAATGACTGGTGGAGGTAGATTCCGGTATTATCTTTCAAATGCAGGTGAAAAAGCTCTTACAGAAAAAGGACACAAATGAATTGGGCCAAATGGCTTCTACATTTGCAACACACAAAGCAAAAAGGCAGGAAATAAACCTGTGCACTTTAATATTCAGAGAAAATTAGGGAGGAGGAAGAATGTTTAATTCAACTATATTCATCGATCCAGAAACACTGCAGTGTGTCTGCACCCCCAACACTGTTTGTCAGTTCACTTCTGTACTATCTGTTTCATTCCAGAGCAGTAACTGTTCAATACAATGTTTTTTTTTAAAATAATACTAATCTGTTTCAGACTCACACAAGCAAATTGCATTTTCATTTGCACATCTGCAGAACTACTGGCTTCCAATAAGTGAATGGAATGAAATAAAATAAAATTTTCAAACAGACAGTTACTGAAAATGACATGGTATTTTGAAATTTCAGAATTGCCAATAGTTTGAACAATAGTTTGACAGGGCACTGCACTCCTGTTCTGTCACTCCCCCATGTTGTAGTTCTGAGCAAATTCTTCGCTTTGCCAAAGCCTTATGTCATTATTCAAACCGTCCCAATAAATTTGTCAAGCCCGGAGGAAATGGGGAGCTGACTTTGCATGTACATAGGTAATCTGCAACAAAATTTTCCTTTTCTTCAGTGTAGTTCTCCCCTCGCTCTATTTCTGAAGCTGTATCTTTTAATTTTAGTCCCTATGGCTTGTTTTTCAGAAGCTGACTCGCTTAGCGCTGACCCTCCAACGGCATGGCGCCCCCTCAGTGCAGTACTCATTCAGTACTGACACTGAGATAGTAGGAACTGCAGATGCTGGAGAATCCGAGACAACAAGGTGCAGAGCTGGATGAACACAGCAGGCCAAGCAGCATCATGGGAGCAGAAAGGCTGACGTTTCAGGCCTAGACCCTTCATCAGAAATGGGGGAGGGGAAGGGGGTTCTGAAATAAATAGGGAGAGAGGGGGAGGCGGATAGAAGATGGATAGAGGAGAAGATAGGTGGAGAGGAAACAGACAGGTCAGAGAGGCGGGGATGGAGCCAGTAAAGGTGAATGTAGGTGGGGAGGTAGGGAGGAGATAGGTCAGTCCAGGGAGGACGGACAGGCCAAGGGGGCGGGATGAGGTTAGTAGGTAGGAGATGGGGGTGGGGCTTGAGGTGGGAGGAGGGGATAGGTGGGAGGAAGGACAGGTTAGGGAGGTGGGGACGAGCTGGGCTGGTTTTGTGATGCGGTAGGGGGAGGGGAGATTGAAGGATTTCATAAGCTCCTGAAACAGCTTCCGAGCCTCCTCTCAACACATAGTTCCCCCTTAGTTTTATATCATCTGCAAATATATTTCAACCCCACCTCTAAGTGATTTGGTATATATTATGAGCAGCTGGAGCCCAAGTACAGATCCTTGCTTTCCCTCGCTACTCTCAGCCTGCCAACGTGAGAACAATCCATTAGTTCTGTTTACTGTCTGTTAGTCGATCCTCAATCCCTAACAACACATGACTTCCTTTCCCTCATGCTTTAATGATTCTAACCAAACTCCTGTTGGGGGTAATCATCATAGATCATAGAACCCTACAGTGTGGAAGCAGGCCATTCAGCCCATCGGGTCCACCACAACCCTCCAAACAACATCACAGTCAGACCCGCTCCACTACCCTATTCCTGCTACCCTGCATTGCCTAAGGCCAATCCACCCAATCTGCACATTTTTGGCATGTGGGAGGAAACCCATGCAGACACGGAGAATGTGCAAACTCCATACAGACAGTCGCCTGGCGCTGCGAGGTAGCCAAGCTAACCACTGAGCACACCCACCATCAAAAGCATTTGAAAATCCAAATATGCAACAAGACACTCAAACACTCCAAACTTCAAAACTCAATACTCACACGTGTGGATGATGTTAGTTATATCATCAGGTGACATTATACTACAGCAGCATTTCAGTACTACACAAGTTGGCAACATTCCAACTCAGGCCCCAATGCAACACAAGTGCAATCTTAGTGAGATTTCATCCAAGGGCTTGTGTGCTTGGGCTACATCTATTCAGTAAGGTATTGTTCGGATAGCTCAACTGTAGTTAATGGGACCCTTATTAAAGGAACGATTTTTTTTTGATTAAAAAAATTACCAAAATATTTATTTGACAAAAGGTTTCCTTGACCTATATGTTACAATCATCTCCATTGTGGACGTTGAGAATCTTATTTACTGAAGGCAAATGATTTACTTCCAGCCTATTGAGTTGCCAGCTTTGTTTCAGTGCTGTCAGCAGATAGTCCAACACGGTGACTGAGTACATGCTGAAGTATGCCCCCTTGTGTTTGGGCACAGAGTGACAGTGGACTAGCAGGCTTCAGTAGGAGCTTGTCCACACCGTTTATTTCTTTTTCTTCTTGGTGACGTCCTGAACTCCTGGCTTCAGTGTGTCCCTGAAATTCTGGCCGCAGCATTGATCCAGCAAGGCGGCCCCTCAGTCCAGCATGGACTTTTGGCTCAATGGTTTAAGGCCCGGTGCAGACTGAAGGCAACGTGGCGGCATGGACAGGATTGGAAGGACAGCTATTTCTCCAAAACTTGAAGGATTTCACAAGCTCCTGAAACAGCTTCCGAGCCTCCTCTCAACACATATTTCCCCCTTAGTTTTATATCATCTGCAAATATATTTCAACCCCACCTCTAAATGATTTGGTATATATTATGAGCAGCAGGAGCCTAGGTGCTTTATACCTAAGATGGCACCCTAAGTGGTGACTTGTAAACCTTTCACTGTACTCATGAGTATGTGACAATAACACGAATTCAACTCAATTCAAATAAGTAGCCTAAAAAGTGACCTGCCTGTGGGGACTGTAACAATAACATGCAGTCTGTCAATGGTGAGCAAACTATTTTAGAGGCAATGATTCAGAATAAAAGAACGGGCTCTTAGAAAATTATAGCCAAACAAATGAATGCACGGGCTCATCAAAATAAAGTCATATTCAATGGGAAACGTGTGCTCAGATACATCTTACAAAGAGTGACTGGGCAATGGTCTACGAGAGACATGACAGAAGCCCTTATCGATCCAAACAACTACCTGAAGATACTGAATAAACAACCAAAGCATCAGTTAGAACTGAAAACTTTAATCATTCTCCAATACACGATACACATATTCAATGCTTCTTGTTCGCTGCTGCGACCTGCAAAAGAAAAAAAATAAGGAGTATTTTGTGGTCTGCTGCAGCAAAGCGATCAGAAATATACACTTTAACTTCCTGTGTATCATCTAATTTAAAGAATGAGAAGGTGCGACTTGTGCTCTTAAAGGCTGGGCAAGAGCTTCAGTGCTGAAAAATCTCTCAATTTCTCTGGTTCTAAGAGTTTCGTGAGATGTTATAGCATTAACAACACATTGTTATTCTGTGCCATCATCCTTCAGTCAAATTTTAACAAGCACACAATCTAGCTTCACATATTCACCTGGCCAGCGATACGGTCTAGATCTCTCTGTCCTTGTGGAGTCAGTCTGCGGCCACTGTAGGGAAAACAAATTGATGCATTTAATATTATTTTATTCTTTCCTACATCAACTTACTCTGCTCAAAGAGTTTGCTCACTTCATAGACTCTATATTCATAACTCCGATATTTATCCCAGCTGTAATGTAACCTGAAACAACAGATTAACAGAGACAGTTCTGCAGATGAGTTTAAAGTGCCCCAGCTGATAGTGCCATGCAGTAGTGCAGGACCAAACCTCATAAACATAACTAAGAGAAACTGCAGAAAATCTGAACCTCAGAACTAAACTTGAAGCTAAGTGCAAAAGAAATTCGAGACTCCGCATGGATACTTGCTGTGACAATGGCAGAGGAAGGACCCCAGAACAATAATCAGACAGATCTGAGCTGCTGACCAGTTTACAAAGCCATCTAGCTCAATGAAATTAAATGAATAATTCTACAGATTCAACAAAAAGAACTAGAAAGGTGACCACAGTACGTTCTAATGCAATGCACTCAGAACTGAGACAACCACAACTGTTGGGAATGCCCATGGACTAGAAATTGCAAATGGGCTGTTTACTTACTGTACGGTATGTAATGTGTAACAGCAGATCACAGCATAAAGCCAGGACAAAGGGCTTTCAAAAATCTACACTTCATGGTAGGGCATAGCTGCAAGCAGGCACCCTATAATTACAACAGGGTTTCCTTACCCATTAGGATCCTTCTCCACCATCTTCAGGCCTTCCAGAGCCTGCAGCACCTTCCTAGCCACAGACTTGGAACCACGGCTGAAGTGACTGGGCTTCACACCGTTCCTTTGGCGGCCACCGTAAATCTTGGTCATGGCACCAACGCCAACACCACCCCTCAAGTACAGGTGACGCACTGTGGAGGCTGAAGTAAATCAGAGGACACTGATTACAATTAGGCCAGGTTCTCACCAGTCTCCCAACCACCATTTCCCCATTCCTGCTCACTAGATCAACATTCACTTCACTATTCATCTTAACACCCCTTGATCCCCTGATTCACCTTTCAGTCATTGTTTTTTAAAAAATTCTTCTGAACAGTCATCTAACCAACCACTCACCTTTGTGCAATAAATATGTTTTTCTTTAAGTTTGATGCTTTCTATAGAGTCTAGATTCATACAGCACAGAAACAGACCCTTCAGTCCAACTTATCCATGCTGACCAGGTTTCCTAAACTAAACTAGTCCCATTTGCCTGCATTTAGCCCATATCCCTCTAGACTCATCCTATCCAAGTACCTGTCCAAATGTCTTTTAAACATTGTAATTGTACCCATCTCCACAACTCCTTCTGGCAGTTCGTTCCATACACACTATCCTTTGTGAAAAAGTTATCCTTTAGGTCTTTTAAATCTTTGCCGTCTCGCCTTAAACCTATGCCCTCTAGTTTGGACTCCCTTACCCTGGGAAAAAGACCATGGCTATTCACCTTATACATGCCACTCATGACTGCATAAACCTCTAAAAGGTCACCCCTCAGCCTCAGACATTCTAGGGAGGAAAGTCCCAGCCTAGCCATGTAACTCACTCTTCCTGTCTCAGTAACATCCTTGTAAACCTTTTTTGCACCCTTTCTAGTTTAATAACATCCTTCCTCTAGTAAGGCAACCAGAAGTGTAAGCAGTGCTCCAAACGTGACCTCACCAGTATCCTGAACAGCCATACAAGAGCTTCTTTAGTTAACCAGAGAGGGGAGAGTCCTGACCTTGTAAATTCTCTTTGCAATAGGAATCCATTGAGTGTTTGGGAAAATCACCCTAAAAAGTCTGATATTGTCTCTCATGATCTATCCCTGAGCCAGAATGTCAGTTCACTTAAGCTAGCTCAGCTTTCATGCCCACATTGTTACCCTTACACAAGTTTAAAGTAGTCCTGAATCCCAATCTTCTCTATTTCAAACTCTTTCAAATACAATTATGTTGTGATTGCTGTGACTTCAGGATCCTTTGACGCTGACGTCAATAGTTAATCCTGTCACATTACACAATATCAAGTCTAATATAACCTGCTTTCTGGTCAATTCCACACCATTCCAGAATTGTTCAAAAGCATTCCACAACCTCATCACTTGGCTCACATTGCCATGCTGATTTTTCTAGTTAATATGTAGATTAACAACATCTATTATTATTGCTGCCCTTCATAACAAGCACCCAATATTTTACTTTGTATAGTTTGTCCTACACTGTAGTAACTGTTAGGTGACCGAGCCTAATAAAGACCACTTTCCTCTACTCGCCTTCACCACCACACAACATCCTGATCTCCTGAACCAAGGCCACCTGTAACTATTGCACCAATGTTATCCTTTACTAAGTAAAAACCGAAAGAACTGCGGATGCTGTAAATCAGGAACAAAAACAAAGTTGCTGGAAAAGCTCAGGTATGGCAGCATCCTTCACAGATGCTGCCAGACCTGCTGAGCTTTTCCAGCAACTTTGTTTTTGTTGCTATCCTTTACTAACTGTGCCACCCCTCCACCTTTACCAAGCTTCTTATTCTTGAATTTCAGATGCCCCCCGCCGCCAATAATTAGTGTGCTATCAATTTGTTTATGAATGCTAAAACTGTTCACTTTTCTCTGTTTATTATCTCTAATATCTCGTTTTGATTGTTGACTTTTTTTTCCTTTCTATTCTTTCCTGCCATTCTTGGACCTTCATTTCCCATATTACAATGCTGTTCTATAATCTTTTAATTAATTTGCTGCATCTACCCAAGTTTTGACCCCTCATACAAAATTCTTCCTGGGCCCAACAGGGTAGATTCAGGATGGATATTTCCCCTGTCTGGGAAAGCTAGAACCATGGAGAATAAAAAGTAGGCTCATTTACAACACAGATAAGGAGGAATTTCTTCACACAAGATAGTGCCAATCTTCGGAATTGGTAGAGGGCTGTGAGGTTTTTTTGGAGTACATTCAAGACAGGGTTTAAGATTTCTAGAAATTAAAAGCATTGGGGGAAATGAGCAAGAAAATGCACATGATAAGCCATGAAATATCTGTACGATGGAGTAGGCTCAATGGACTGAATGGCCTCTTCCGCTAGGGCCGTTTGAAAAGACGTGGAAAATTTCAGCACTGAATAGTTAAGAATTTGACCTTTAATTTTTGGGTGTCTCATTCAGAACGTTTTGATCAAAGTTGCCTTTTACAGACACACAACAGTTGAGGTTTCTTCACTGGTGCCTCCACTGCCACTGCCACCTCCACTCCATCTCCCTCCCCTTCACCTACTACCTCATGAAGCAGTCTTTAGGAACGGGGGGAAGCTCCTCATACAAAGAAAAGACAAACAAAAAAAAAAAAAAAAATCACTCGTCAGCAAAGGCAAGAGCTTGCCTACGGCATAGCAGGAAACCACAGATACTAACAACAAAAATATTAGTTCATCTCTCAACTGGCTTGGTTAAGGGAAGAAAGTTGGCCAACACAGGACAGAATTCCAAAAATGGTTATAATATTGTTTTGTACACCTGAACAGACATTTCTGTCAGATCATAAACATAAGACATAGGAGCAGGAGCTGGCCATTTAGCCCATCACGTCTCCTCCTCTATTCAATGAGATGATGGTTGATCTGGTGGACCTCAAGTCAACTTTTCTGCCTTTTCTCTATAACCCATGATTCCTTCACTGATTATAAATCTATCTCAGCCTTGAATATACTTAATGACTCAGCCTTGACAGCCCTCTGTGGTAAAGAGCTCCACAGATCTGCCGCTCTCAAGAAATTTCTCATGTTTCAACAGTACGACCCCTTATCAGAGAATATTCCTTCAGGTCCTAGACCCTCCCAACATGGAGAAAAAACCTTTCCTCAATATCACCGCATCTACCCTGTCACGTCCCCTAAGAATTTTGTACATTTCAATAATACTCTTCTATATCCCAAAGTGTACAGACCCAATCTACTCAACTTCTCCATGTATGACAGTTATGAAGGGATTGGTATCAACCTAGTCAAAAAGACAGCACTCACACTAATGCAGACAGCTGCTGGAGACAAAAATAGCTGACATTTTCAGATCAAGAGTTAACCTTGCAAATCGATAACTTTTCAATCGAAACTGATCAGACATCCTGATAACTGTGCCTTCTCTCTCTGCACATGCTACCCAAATTGCTGTGCATTTCAACAACAGTTTGTTACTTTGAGGTTCCAAAGCCTGCAACAGCTTGATTTTCAATTCAAGAAACGTCAGCGGTGGCTCAGTTAATAGCACATACGCCTCGGAATCTTTCAAGTGTCCAGGTTCAAGACCTTTTCCAAAACATCAGCACAAAAATCAGTAGACAATCCTATGCAAAACTGAGAGAATGCTGCACCGTTAGAGGTGTCATACTTCAGAGGAGACACTGAACTGCATACCCATCTCCCTGCCTGAGTGGATATAAAAGATCCCATGGCAGTTTTTTGCCTTATGGCCCAACTAACATTTATCCCTCAACTGACATCAAACACACAAATCCACGACCATCAAGTCATCATCAGGCTGCTGCTTGTGGGAGCTTGCTACGCACAAAATTTTCAGACACGTTTCCTACATCACAATGGGGATTGCACCTCAAGGAAGCAATTCATTGATTGTAAAGCATTTCAAGGCATCCAAGTGAAGTGAATGACGCTATATGAATGCAATTCTCTATTCCTATGCCCAGCTCCATTCTCTGCAAATAAACCGGCCCTATCAAAATGGGTTGGAGAGAGCAATTGAAGGCTGACTTTTGGCATCCTAGTTACGTAGAGACAGAATGTGGAAACATGAGCTGTTCAGACTTCACACCTGAATTCTGATGCAGAGACAGCCCTTATTGAATAACAAAGATGGGAAAGATGGTGGCACAGGACACCTGACCTGGAGCTCATCTGCTCTTTTCATTTTTGTCCCCCTCATTATTTTTGCATCTTTTCTCTCCCTTTGTTTTTACCTCGCCTCCTTGGGCAGTATCAGCAATGCCTGGGGTGAAAGCCAGTGTGGACTCGGACTCCCAAGCCCAACATGGGACTCAGGACTCTTGGCCTTAAGGTGAAGCCCTGCGCAACTGCTATTCTGAACTCCTATTTCTATTTTTCTATTTACTGCTGGGCCTGTTATTTCTTTAGTTTACTAATTATTTTTCACTAAGAATTTGTACTTAATGATATGTATCTTGGTGCCATAAGTGGCGACTTGTAAACTTTTCACAGTACTTATGTGAGCATACATGACAAATAAAAGATAATTCTGATGCTCAATTGCATGAACTGCACTCACCAGCCCGAGTGTAGAACCAGTTCTCGTCATATGGAGCCAGTTCTTTGTGTTTGCCCAGCTTCACAGTGTCAACCCAATCGGGTACCTTTAACTTGCCAGACCTGTAAACACAGACAAATGTGAAAATCCCTCTCTGGAATCCACACAAAAACAGAGAAAAATAACATACAATTAATAACATCTATAACTGCCACCCAAGAACACTGGTTACACAGCTGTGCTTATGCCAAGCTTATAAATAACAGAAGCCAAAATTCAAAACCCAGGTAACTATTTTTGTAACAGAAATGAAGAGAAGTTACCTCTCTAAAGGGTCGTGAATCTGTGGAATTCACTATCCCAGAGTGCAGTAGATGCGGAGACATTAAGTAAATTTAGGAAGACAGATTTTTAATTAGTAACAGGTTAACAGGTTATGGAGAGCAGGCAGGAAAGTGGAGTTGAGACCTAGGTGATCACAGTGCATGGTGGAGCAGGCTCAAAGGGCTGAATTGCCTGCTCCGGCTCCTCGTTTTTATATGGGGTAGGAAAGGCTATCGAGTTGGATGATCAGCCGCCATCATATTGAAGGCACGGAGCTTTTAATGGCCTCCTTCTGCTCTAATTTCCTAATGTTTTTGTGTTTCAACGTGCATCCAACTTCTGCTTAAAGTGTGAAAAACAGCATTTTTAAAAACAAAAACATAGTGAATCAATAACGTAAAAACAAAGTGAGGTCTCTTCAGGGAGGTTCAGGACTTAAAGGACTCCAGACAACTGAAGGCACAGCCACAATGGTAGAGCATTTAAAATCAACAGGACACCTTAGAAAGGCAAAATATTGGCAGATGGAGTACAATGGGAGATCTGAAGTTGTCCACTTTGGCAGGTAGAAAACCAGAACATTACTGATAAGGACAGGAACTGCAGGATGATGCGCAGAGGGTTCTGAGTCACTGTGCACAGATCACACAAAAAGAAAAAAAAACCAACACGCAGATAAAGCTCATAATTAGAAACACAACTGGAATGCTGGCCTTTGTTGCAAAGCAGATGGACTATACAAGTCTTGCTGAAACTTTACAGGGCACCAGTAAGACCGCATCTGTAACGCTGTGCACGGCTATGGTCTCCCAACTAGCGTTCCTCACTCGTGTGGCACAGGCGAGGTCAGCATCCGTTGCTCTTCCCTAAACCCCCTTGAACAGAGTGGTTTCCTCGGCCATTTCAGATGGAAAATAGGAGTCAACCATATTGCTGTGGATCTGGAGTCACATGTAGAGGAAGGGATGGTACACTCCCCTCCGTGAAGAATGAGTGAACTAGATCAGTCTTTAACATTAATTGCCATGGTCAAAGACTTTCAATTCCATCTTTATTGACGTGAAAATCACAGCTGGCTGGATTTGCACTGGAGGCAGTGCAGAGAAGGTTGAGTCAGTCGATTCCTGAAATTGATCTTGCGAAGAAAGAATGACCAGGTTAGGTTTCTAGTTTAGAGATGATCCCATAGCAAAATGCATGATTCTGAGGTGGCTTGGCAATGTAGATGATGAGAGGATGTTTCCTCTCACTGGGAAACCTAGAACTAGGAGCACAGTTTAAAAGTATTTCCCTTTAAAGGCAACAAGGTGCAGGGCTGGATGAACACAGCAGGCCAAGCAGAAAAGCTTTTCTGATGAAGGGTGTAGGCCCGAAACGTCAGCCTCTCTGCTCCTATGATGCTGCTTGGCCTGCTGTGTTCGTCCAGCCCTGCACCTTGTTGTCTCGGATTCACCAGCACCTGCAGTTCCTACTATCTCCCTTTAAAGGCAGATGGGTCACAAAGGGTTTTTAGTCCTTGAAATTCTCTTCCCCAGAGAGCAGTTTTATTTACAAAGAAGTCATGGATTTTGAGGTACAAATAGAAAAAGTGGGTTGAGGTCAAAATCAGATAAGGTCCAATCTTATCAAATGGCAGAGCTGGCTTAAGGGGCCAAATGGCCTACGCTATTGTAAAAACCGCGCAAGGACTCCACATTAAAGATGGGAAGAAATACTGTTTTAAATCAAGGTAACCAGGCAAGAAGATGCCTACAGTTTTAAAAATAATTTACGAGCACACAAAATTGTATCTACAATGCTGCCTTATTAAGACAATGATAGAGAAGTCCATCCAAATCAGCACAACTTGGGAGAGATCAGGAAAGTCTGAGAGAGTCTTTTAAATGGGCACCAGTTGTTGTGGGCTCAAGAGAGCTCAACACAGCAAAGCCTTCTGATTGGGATGGTTGCAGCTTAACACAAACCCCATGGACAGAGGGGAGGCAGAGAGAGAAACAGAAGGTGACAGATTCCCCAAAGTTGCGGTATCAACATCTTTCTCTGTTCCCTTGCCCTGGAAAAGTTTCAGCGCTGAAGGAAAAATGTCATTCAGTTGCTGAAAGGAAGAATGCAAAAGCCCAGAGGGAAAAGGAAAAGCCTGGGTCCAACCAAGACACCAGTCAACTAAAGACAATTCATTGCTGTGTGAATATCAGTGGGACAAAGGACTGGCGAACCAATCAATCTAATTTGATGATTTTGGACTGGTGATACAGAACTGTGTTCCTCTATTTTTTCTCCTGCTCCACATGCATGTGGTGCGTGGGGAGTGGAGGGTGGGAGTTTTAAAAGGGGTAAAGTTGAAGTTATGTAAATTAGACATTCCGTCCTTTCACTGTTCTTATTTAAGTTACAGATTTTCAATTCATCTGGGACTACTTTTTGACATTGTTTAAAAGCAGCTTAATTGTAATAAATTGATCTCATTGCAGGATGCACAATACTGAGGGGGCTTGGCAAGGTAGATGCTGAGAGGACATTTCCTCTTTATAGGGAAACCTAGAACTAGGAGGAGAGTTTATGGTAGATGGGTCAGAGATTTGTTAGTGTTTGAAATTCTCTTCCCCAGAGAGCAGTGGAGGACGGATCACAACGTGGAGTTTGAGGGTTTTATTTTAATAGAAATGTTATTGGTAATGGAAAAACCTGGAGTACATGCTCATTCAGCATGAATTAGACACTCAGATATAATTGAGCAACTCTGGTTTAAATCAAATGTTTCATATTTAAGATGATTTGTGAAAAGTGGGGTTTGCTTCACAGACCACAAGGCAACATGGGTCACAAGTGATAGGAATAAGCAGTCATTAGGACCTGATCTGGGTTTGCGACAGACAGCAGTTCAGTCAAGCTGAAATTTATCAGCACTGAGGATTGTTTCATTATTAACTTCAGCGTCCTCCTGCGGCTACAAAAGTCTAAAGAATTAACTGAAAGGGTTCAAGAAGCTTGCAGAAGTTGTTTGAAGAGCGTTCTTCAAGCATCAGCAAAACATTTGGTACATACTTCTTGAGAAAAGCACCCAGGGCTTTGACAAACTCCTGCTGATTCACGTCCTTCACCGTGACACCAGGCATCTAGGAAGAATAAGCATAAAGTAAGTCTGGCAGCAAATTAAAGGATGAACTGGCTACACCAACTTTATACGATCTAAGGTTATCAACAGCTGCAACTACAGATTCATTGTTGGAATCCAGTCTCAATGAACCCAACATTTCTCTGCGTGCAGGACTGTGTTTTGCTCCACTGTGCGCACACAGCCAACTGCTCCTGACTCAAGGCAGATTCTGTCCCTGGTCTCACTTGTCCAGTTCCATCAGTTCCTTCATCATTCCCACTCAGGCAAATATATTCCTCATAAGGAATCCAACCCTCTATACACAACTACAGAGTTAACGCAAGATTTCTTTACTCCTGCCCTCAAAATCTCTTGTAATTGAGACCAAAACACCACCTAAGCAGTTGCTTAGCTTCCAGTGATGCTAAAACAGAGACAACCCAGTTCTTTTTGGATATCAGCATCTCCCAGTCTGTCACCATTTTAAAAATACATTGCACTCCTGTTTTCCTAATTAAAGGCGGGGGAAATGGGCTTCACATTTTCCATATGTCCATGATACCCACTCGGGTCAGCCTGGCCAAACGTTCTTTGCATCTTGCTCATACTCCAATCTCATTTGACTTTGTCAGCATGGATGGAAATATTACATTTGGCCCCATCGAATCACATGCATTGTGAATAGCTAGTGCAAGAGCACTTATCCTCTGGCACCACACTGGTCACAGACCGAGCATAAACACAACTCTGATTTCTGTCCACCAATCAATTCTCAATCCCTGACAGAGTATTATACACTCAGTATCATATTATTAACTTTGATGACTATAGTGCAGCCTTCTCAAAAATGCAAATACATCACACGCACTGGATTCCCCCTTTTCCAATTCAGTAGCTAATCTTCAAAATAAAAACTTCAAGGCGTGCTGTCAAACATGATTTTCCTTTAATCAATCTTCGTTGGCTCTGCACAATCCTACCATTATTCTCCAAGCACCCAGTTATCACATCTTTTAAAACAGATTGGAGGACTTTCCTTACAAGTGAAGCCAGACAGAGACCTGTACTACACTATCTTCATTCTCTTCACAATCCAGCATTCAAATATCCGCTAACCTCCCGTTCTAACCCAATGTGGTGGTATTTCCCACTATATTTCCTTCTTCTAACCATATGGATTATCTGCCTCCTTGCGTCTGCTGTATTTAGTACGGTCCCTCCCTCTCCTTCCCTGTTTTATTCACTGCTCTGGGCCTGTTTTCCACACACTGCATCTCCCAAATTTATCCCTCACCCTCTTCCCTCTCTTTTGCCTTCCTCTAGATCCTTCCCAATCCATACACTAACTATCCTTTATCCTGCTCTCTCCCACCATCACCTCTAATGCTCACTGTGCTTTTCCCCCATTCCCTTGCTTAACACTCCTATATTGCTCACAATGCTCTCTCCCCAATTTACTTGTTTTATTCTTCAACCTGCTCTTTCTAACCACCCGATTTACCCACTTTTATCCTGCTCTCTACCCCAACATATTCCGCACCCTGCTCTCCCTATTCCAGTTTTCCCTATGCTTTTACAAATTGTGTTCCACATCCTGCTCTCCATAACCCTGATTTCACCCAGTATTTCCCGATTCACCCTATTACCATGCTGCAATCCACACTGTGCTATCTCCCAGTATTTAACATTTGCCACTATATTTATTTACATCTCTCCAATCCTCACCATGCCCCGTATAGATTATGAAATACCCCCATATTCCTTACCATTCTTTCTACCCCTGATTTGCCACATTTTCCTCTCTATTTTTCACCCTACTCTATCCCCTTTCCTGACAGCCTATTTGTTAATTCACTCACAGGATGTGGGTATCAATGGCCAGTTGGAAGTCAACCACATTGTTAAGAGTCTAGAGTCAGTAGTTTATTTCCCTAAAGGGCATTAGTGAAAGGTGCGGTTTTCCTGATGATGGTCAATGGATTCATTCAGTCATCATTATAGAGTCATAGAGCTGTACAGCATGGAAATAGACCCTTTGGTCCATGATATCCAACCAGATATCCTAAATTAATCTAGTCCCATTTGCCAGCATTTGGCCTAGATCTCTCTAAACTTTTCCTATTCACATATCCATCAAGATGCATTTTAACTTCAGCTGTACCAGTTTCACCACTTCCTCTGGCAGCTCATTCCATACACACACCACCGTCAGCATAAAAAAACTGACCCTCAGGTCCCTTTTAAATTCCCCTCTCCCCTTAAACCTACACCCTCTAGTTTTGGATTCCCCCATCCTAGGGAAAAGACTTGAACTATTCACCCTATACATACCCCTCATGGGTTTTATAAACCTCTAAGGTAACCCCTCAGCCTCCAACACTCCAGGGGAAAATAGCCCCAGCCTGTTCAGCCTCTCCCTATAGGGCAAACCCAGCAATATCCTTGTAATTTTTTTTCTGAACCTGTTAAACTTCAAGTTTAACAACATCTTTCCTAGAGCAGGGAGACCAGAACTGAACGCAGTATTCCAAAAGTGGCCTTACCAACGTCCTGTACAGCCACAGCATGACCCTCCCAACTCCTATACTCAATGCACTGACCAATAAAGACAAACGTTTTTCTGAAGAAGGGTCTAGGCCCAAAACATCAGCCTTCCTGCTCCTCTGATGCTGCTTGGCCTGCTGTGTTCATCCAGCTCCACACCTTGTTATCTCGGATTCTCCAGCATCTGCAGTTCCCACTAACTCTGATTCAATTCTACACCTTGTTATCTCAGATTCTCCTGCAGTTCCTACTATCTCTCCCATACCAAACACCTTCTCAGTTCGGAGGGTCACCAGGCCCTAAACATTAACTCTGACTTCTCTCCAAAGATGCTGCCAAACTTGCCGAGTTTTTCCAGCAATTTTTGTACATTCTTCACTATCCTGTCTACCTGTGACTCCACTTTCAAGGAACCATTACATACCATATATTTACTGGACTCGAACTCAGGTTTCCAGAACATTCCCTGGGTTAACTGAAGTAGAAGCCCATACCACTAGGCCACAGCCTCAGTATATTCACCCCCCATATATATACCTCACCGTGCACTCTGTCGGCACATATTGACACATAAATGTATACATCTCATATCAAATCCCTCACATTGCTCCCTCTCTGTCTATATTTACATATAAATGTATATATCCGACAGTGAGTCGCTCACCGTGCTGCCGCGCTGTTGGGATCCGGGGCGGAAAAGGCCGACGTGGGGTCTCCCGCCGCGTTTCACAGGGGCCGCGGCCGTTCTCGCGACACGTCGCGGCCCCGCGAGATCTCACGCTTACACCGATTCGCCGACACTCCCAAGGGAGGTGCGCGCGTGCCTCGGTGGCCATCTTCGTAAAGGTTGTTCCCGAAAAGGGACGGTGGCCATCTTGGTATAGGTACGGTCGGGGTTTCAAGAGGAGGGGGGCGGGCGAACGGACGGAGCGGAGGATCGACACAGCCGGCACGTGCCCTCCGCCATCTTTGTATAGGTAGCGAACACTGAGATGCCGGGTCGCAGCCATCTTTGTAAGGGAGGTGCACGACCTACCGAGGATCAGGTGAAGTTAGCTCCCTGAAGGGAATAAACAACAACTTTCCAACTGCAAAAAAAATCTTGACAAAAGACATCATTTTCAAGCAATGACCATAAGTACTTCCGCGATTACTCGGTCTCTGATGAGCAACCCTGTCTCAGATTTTCAAGTAGTGTTGGATTGGAGTGGACAGGGTTAGAAATCACATGACACCAGGTTATTATCCAATCCCAATCCCAACCTCACCATAAAACCCGCGGACAAGGCAGGCGCAGTTGTAGTATGGCACACTGACCTCTACATCGCTGAGGCCAGAAGCCAACTCTCCGACACCTCCTCCTACCGCCCCCTTGATCATGACCCCACCCCCGAGCACCAAACCATCATCTCCCAAACCATCCACAACCTCATCACCTCAGGTGACCTCCCACCCACGGCCTCCAACCTCATCGTTCCCCAACCCCTTCCCGCCCGCTTCTATCTCCTTCCCAAAATCCACAAACCTGAATGCCCTGGTCAACCCATTGTCTCCACCTGCTCCTGCCCCACCGAACTGATCTCCAACTATCTGGACTCCCTTTTCTCCCCCTTGGTCCAGGAACTCCCTACCTATGTCCGAGACACCACCCACGCCCTCCACCTCCTCCAGAACTTCCAATTCCCCGGTCCCCAACACCTCATCTTTACCATGGACGTCCAGTCCCTCGACACCTGCATTCCCCATGCAGATGGCCTAAAGGCCCTCTGCTTCTTCCTGTCCCGCAGGCCCGACCAGTCCCCCTCCACTGACACCCTCATCCGCTTAGCCAAACTCGTCCTCACCCTCAACAACTTCTCTTTCAATTCCTCCCACTTCCTACAGACAAAGGGGGTGGCCATGGGTACCCGCATGGGCCCAAGCTACGCCTGCCTCTTTGTAGGTTACGTGGAACAATCCCTCTTCCGTACCTACACTGGCCCTAAACCCCACCTCTTCCTCCGTTACATTGATGACTATCGGCGCTGCCTCGTGCTCCCACGAGGAGCTCGAACAGTTCATCCACTTCACCAACACCTTCCACCCCAACCTTAAGTTTACCTGGACCATCTCTAATACCTCTCTCTCCTTCCTGGACCTCTCTGTCTCCATCTCGGGCAACCACCTAGAAACCGATATTCATTTCAAGCCCACCGACTCCCACAGCTACCTAGAATACTCCTTCTCCCACCCACCTTCCTGCAAAAATGCCATCCCCTATTCCCAATTCCTTCGCCTCCGCCGCGTCTGCTCCCAGCATGAGGCATTCCACTCCCATACATCTCAGTGGTCCTCGTTTTTCAAGGACCGTAACTTCCCCCCTCAGTGGTCGAGAACGCCCTCAACCGTGTCTCCCACATTTCCCGCAACTCATCCCTCACACCCCGTCCATGCAATAAGAACCAAAAAAGAATCTCCCTCGTCCTCACGTACCACCCCACCAACCTCCGGATCCAACGCATCATCCTCCGACACTTCCGCCATCTGCAATCCGACCCCACCACAAAAGACATCTTTCCCTCCCACCCTTATCTGCTTTCCGGAGGGACCACTCTCTCTGTGACTCCCTTGTCCGCTCCACACTCCCCTCCAGGCCCACCACACCCGGCACTTTTCCCTGCAACTGCAGGAAGTGCTCCACCTCCTCCCTCACCCCCATCCCAGGCCCCAAGAAGACTTTCCACATCAAGCAGATGTTCACCTACACATCTGCCAATGTGGTATACTGCATCCGCTGTACCCGTTGTGGCCTCTTCTACATCGGGGAAACCAAGCGGAGGCTCGGGGACCGCTTTGCAGAACACCTACGCTCAGTTCGCAATAAACAACTGCACCTCCCAGTTGCGAACCATTTCAACTCCCCCTCCCATTCCTCAGACGACATGTCCATCCTGGGCCTCCTGCAGTGCCACAACGATGCCACCCGAAGGTTGCAGGAACAGCAACTCATATTCCGCTTGGGAACCCTGCAGCCCAATGGTATCAATGTGGATTTCACAAGCTTCAAAATCTCCCCTCCCCCTATCGCATCCCAAAACCAGTCCAGCTCGTCCCCACCTCCCTAACCTGTTCTTCCTCCCACCTATCCCCTCCTCCCACCTCAAGCTGCACCCCAATCTCCTACCTACTAACCTCATCCTGCTCCCTTGACCTGTCCGTCCTCCCTGGACTGACCTATCCCCTCCCTAACTCCCCACCTGCACTCACCTTTACTGGCTCCATCCCCGCCTCTTCGACCTGTTTGTTTCCTCTCCACCTATCCTCTCCTCTATCTATCTTCTATCCGCCTCCCACTCTCTCCCTATTTATTTCAGAACCCCCTTCCTCTCCCCCATTTCTGATGAAGGGTCTAGGCCCGAAATGTCAGCCTTTCTGCTCCTATGATGCTGCTTGGCCTGCTGTGTTCATCCAGCTCTGCACCTTGTTGTCTCTATTGTCCAACAGGTTTATTTGAAAATGCAAGCTTTCGGAAACCTGTTGGACTATAACCTGGTGTCGTGTGACTTCAGATTTTCAAGTACAGTCGGTTCTGCTGTTACATGTGTTCCGGCAAAGCGAATTGGCTGTAACATGGCTGACGAATAGGGGAACGCTTTTTCTAAAACGCGAACTTGCGTTGGCTATAACGCAATTCCATCAGCGCACGGAGGAGTATGCGTCGACAATCACATGATCGTTTCACCGGTTTTATCCCCAATATGCGCAATGTTAGCGGCAAAAGACTCTCTGCGCCAGCGTCACATGATCGTTTCACAGATATAGCCGTGAAGTGCTCTCTGTGAGAGGTACAGTACTCTGTGACTTTAGTTCTTTTTTTGTTTGCAAATTCTGCTGCGTTACCCGCAAAAATGCAAGGACAAAGTGACAAGAATGTTAGCAAGAAGTATCCTGGTAATAATATTGCAGGTGGTGAACGTAAAAGAAAGGCTATAACAATGGAAGAGAAGCTGGATATTACGAAGCGTTTTGAGAGTAATGAGAGAACATGTGATATAGTTCACATCAACAAAGGAGTCTACCTTATGCGCCATTAGAGACAATGAAGAAAAAATTAAAGCAAGCCAGTTGCTGAAACAAGTCTGAGTGCTAGCAAATCTGTGAGGGCACAGACAAAGGAACTTGAGATGGAGCAGCTTCTAAATGTGTGGATAGTAGATCAAACGAAAAAGCGATCTGGAACCACCTTTCTCACCCTAAAAGAAAAAGCCTTATCAATTTATGAAGATCTAACAAAAAAAGCTGAAAATCCTGCAGATGTGCCTGCCTTTAGTGTTAGCAGTAGTCAGTTTGCAGGTTTTAAGAACCACTTTTTATAACTCTATGTTATGTGGTGAAGCTGCCAGTGCAGACGAGGAGCATGTGATGGCATTTCCTCCCATAGTAAAAAAATTAATTGATGAAGAAGGCTACAACTTAGATGAAATTTTCAGTTTGGATGAGACAGGTTTATACAGGAAGTGAATGCCACCAAGAACCTACATTTCTATGAATGAAGCACACGTACAAGCTTTAAGGTGGCAAAGGATCATATGACTGTGCTGTGGGTGCCAATGCCAGTGGAGACTTAAAGCTTACTCCTGTGGTGGTGGACCACTCTGCCAACACATGACCCTTGGAAGGTTACCTTACATCTACTCTAGGTGTCTAGGTTAAGCAAAAGAGGTCAGATGACAGGGCAAATTTCTTCTGACCCTATTGTTGATGTTTTGGAAGATGTTTTTAGAAAGTATTGCAAGAAAAAAAATTTGGATTTCAAGATTCTCTTCATCCTGGATAATGCACCAAGCCATCCTCACACACATTGAAAACATCAAAGTATTATGTCTACCCCAAACACAACCTCTCCCCTTCAACCCATGGACCATGGTGCAATAGCAGGTTTTAAAGCTTATTATTTAAGGCACACATTGAAGAGGCTGATTGCAGCCACTGAGCGGGATAAGGACAGTGTTGTTCAATTTTAGAAGAGCTTTAACATCAAGAATGCAATTGACATTATCATGGAGGCCTGGGGTGATGTCAGTAAGGACTGCTTGCATGCAGTTTGGCGGGAGCTTCTCCCAGATTTCTTTCAAGATTTTAAAGGCTTTGATCCATCAGAGGAGCTCTCAAGAATCAAAGAACATTGTGTTGATCTTGCAAAGCAAGTTGGATTTGAAGAGGTGGAGGGTGAGGATGTTGAAGAGCTGCTCAAGTCCCACTGTGAAGACCACTCTACAGCTGATCTACAACAACTTGTTGCTGAGGGAGAAATGGAAGGTGGAGATGAAGATGAAGTCCAGGATGCAGCACCACGAGAGCTTTCCACTTCTATTGTGTCTTCTATCCTGAGGGAAATTGAGAAGCAGTTACAGCTCTTAGAGGACAACAATTACAATGCAGAATGCAGCAGGATAGCAGGTCATGGAGTAAGATCTTATTTGGCCCCCTATGAACAGCTTCTTCAAGGAAGAAGAAAAAGGGCAAAGCAGCAAAAACTGGATGTCTTTTTTATGCCAACCCCCAAGAAACAGCCAGAAGACAACGAACCATAGCCATCCACTTCTGGATTAACTATTTTTCACCCTAACCCTGTAACCACAACTGCACCTGAAGGTGATGATAATGATGATGATGATGACCCTCAGCTCCTGCATTAACACAGAGCTACCTTAAACCCTCCTCCCCCATCAAGTCATCTTGACACTTTTTCAAGGTAAGGTATTAAATTTATTTTTATTTCATTATTAGATATGAATTAAATATGTATTCAAACTGTGCTATCCGTTGTGTTAGGTTTTTGAGTGATTTTTGAGCCAATTTCAGTATATTTTTTGGTGGCCTGCCCCTAACCCCTCTTTTCCCGTAGGTCCCTTATTTCTAGTAATTTCTATTTTCTATAACACGATGTTGGACAGGAACACAACTATGGCATGATAGCAGAAGTGACTGTAAATGTAGACTTTGCACCATTTCTTAGTCCTGGGAGAAATTTTCATAGAGTCATACAGCATGGAAACAGACCCTTCAGCCCAACTTGTCCATGCTGACCAGGTTTCCTAAATTGAACTAGTCCCATTTGCCGGTGTTTGGCCCGTATCCCTCTAAACCTTTCCTATCCGTGTACCTGTCCAAATGCTATAATTGTACCAGCATCTACCACTTCCTCTAGCAGCTTATTCCATAAACCCCATCACCCTCTGTGTGAACACATTACTCCTCAGGTCCTTTTTAAATCTATCCCCTCACACCTTAAACCTACGCCGTCTAGCCTTGGACTGCCGAGCCCTGGGGAAAAAACCTCGGCTATTCACCCTATCCATGCCCCTCATGATATCTCAGTATTAGCAATTCAACCCCAGGGAGTCAAAGGATATAGGTGGTTTCGGTAGGGGAGGGGAGTTGAGGCTGCATTTCAAGCAAAAGTGATTCTGATAGGACAGCAGATCAGGTTTGGGTGGGCCAAATGGACTCCTGCTCCTGTTCCTATCCTATGCAATCCTACTGCACCTGTGAAGTGCCCCAGCATGTTTCATAACATTCATAAGACAAAGCAGCAGAAGCAAAAACAGAAATTGCTGGAAAAAGCTCAGCAGGTCTGGCAGCATCTGTGGAGAGAAATCAGAGTTAACACTTCGAGCCCAGTGACCTTTCTTGAAAACTGAAGAAAGGAGTAGAAGTGCTACATCAAATCTGCTTCACCATTAAACGCATTGACCTGACAATCCTCAACTCCATTTTTCCACCTTTGCTTCATAACCCTAAATTTCTTCACTGATTATGCGTGTCTCAGCCTTGAATACACATAGCAACCCAACTTCATCAGCCATCCGTGGTATAGCTGTCTCACATTGCCCAGGTATTCACAGTGAGGACAAAAGATCAGGAAACAGGAAAAGAAACACTGACTACAACGAGAGAAAGCAGCAAGTATTATTGAAGATTCACAGATACTGACTGGAATTGTTCTCACAATAAAACACACAAAAATCGTGCATGGTTCCATTTATTTAATTGGATCTCAGTACATGAATGAACTGTAATATGATTGTCACGAGTTATTAACAACTGATTATGGTTTACATAGCATGATTACCAGTATCAAAAACATCATTCATTTATCAGTTATTATGCAGGATTCACTTCTTATATTTATGTATATACTGTCAGACATGCCTCAGCAATCTGTGTCAGATGGTGGTGATATTAAATTCTGTGCCAAGGATTTAAGCACAAAATCTAGATGGATGCACCTATTTCAGTACATAGGGAGCATCGCATTGTCAGAGGGTCAGTGCTGAGGGAGCGCTGCACTGTCGGAGGGTCAGTGCTGAGGGAGTGCCGCACGGTCGGAGGGTCAGTGCTGAGGGAGCGCCGCACTGTCAGAGGGTCAGTGCTGCTCTGTCGGAGGGTCAGTATTGAGGGAGTGCCACATTGTCAGAGGGTCATGTACTGAGGGAATGCTGCACTGTTGGAGGGTCAGTGCTGAGGGAGCACCGCACTGTTGGAGGGTTAATGCTGAGGGAGCACTGCAGTATCAGAGGGTCATTACTGAGGGAGCACTGCACTATCAGAGGATCAGTGCTGAGGGAGCACCGCACTGTCGGAGGGTCAGTGCTGAGGGAGCGCTGCACTGTTGGAGGGTCAGTACTGAGGGAGCGCCGCACTGTTGGAGGGTCAGCGCTGAGGGAGCGCCGCACTGTCTCTGTATTGAATGGACGATACTGTCTTTTCTGTGCCCATCATTCAAGTGAGTCCCATGTCCAGTATTTGAAGAGAAGTATCATGAGACAAAAAAGAAATGAACTTCGGCCAAAATTATTGACGAACCAATATCAGCATTAACCAATAAGTATTCAGTAACCAATTTCATAATTAGCTCAATTAACTAATATTTATTTGTTAAGCAATTTCACAATTAATCAACATCACAATTATGAATAGTTATTGATTATCCAATATCAGAATTAACATTTAGTTGTCATTTAACTGACACAAAATTCAACAATTAACCAATGTCACAACAAGCCAATAGCTAATTAGGCCAACAGTTTTTCTGGCCATTAATACTTCTCCATTTCTGGGACTTTGTTGTGGACTCCTTGACTGTTTAATGACGATGATGATGATGGTGGTGTTGACAATGATAGTGATGGAGATGATGAAGATGGGGGTGTTGGCGATGATAGTGATGGAGATGATGATGATGGGGGTGTTGGCGATGATAGTGATGGAGATGATGATGGTGGTGGTGTTGGCGATGATATTGATGGAGATGATGATGGTGGTGGTGTTGGCGATGATAGTGATGGAGATGATGATGATGGTGGTGTTGGCGATGATAGTGATGGAGATGATGATGATGGTGGTG